TTTTTACTGAAGTAGACTTTAGAAGGAGTCTACATGTTTGAATTTTTTTGACAGATGTTAGTTTTGCAGTTGATCAAGTTTGACTTTCTATTTGTAAACGGAAACAAATGTCTACATACATGTTGACTTCATACGAAGTCTACCCACAAATACAGGGGGTTAGTTGTGCATTTGACCAAAATAAAATAGTAGACTTTATGTGATGTCTATTGTTTTTAAAAAAAAAATAGTATAATGTAATTAAAGTTTACACTTTCTTTTATTTTTGGTCAACTTTTTAAATAGTCAAATATAAACCTAACCTATTCAACGGAGTAAAAATTTGGGTCAAATACAAAACAGACTTTTTGTAGACATCTTGGGAAGACTACAGTCTGTAGATTTCCGACGAAGTCTACATTGAAAAATCAAAAGTTTGGTCAAATGCAAAACTAACCTCTTTTACATAGAATTCTTTGGAAGTCTACCTCATTTTTTTTTTCTTATCAAATGTAATGACGTAGACTTCCAGGGAAGTCTCATTTTGATAAACAATTATTCTGGTCAATTGCAAAACTAACATGTGCGTTGACAAGTAGACTGCATCGTAAGCCTACACGTATGCGTAGACATACAAAACAGTCTACAGTCAAGACATAGATCTGAAAAATGACGAAAACCATGTAAATAGATACCTTTTTCCGGTGTAAAGCTTGTTTTCACTCTTTTCCACCGTCCAAGCTCCAAATATGAAAAAAAAGCAGCTTAGACGAGCAACAACATAGTACACTCAAAATAATGAAGTTATTCTTATGGAAATGAAAGTTATGAGAGTTTTTTAGATGAAATAAAATGCTTTATCTTAATAAATTTTTTAATAAAATGACTTATTTTAATAAATTTTTTTTCTTCAGTTACTATCTAGAATTTATTTGATTTTATTTTTCACGTCTTTAGAAATTATAACATGATACTATTGGTTTGACATCAGGACTTTCTAAAATTCATATAACATTATATAAAACCAAACATATAATAATAATTTTTGGTTATCATTAAAAAATCTTTGCAAGCTCAAAACTAAAATAAATAAAAAAAATAAACTTTTATTTAAAAACACACATGTCACCATCCGTCTCTCAAATTGATGAGGTATTACTCTCAAAATTGATAAAATAATTTTTTATATATTTAGATTTTACTAATTATATACTTGTCTAAGTATAATAATATTTTTTGAAAATATAATAATTTACTTTTTTGATGTTTATTTTAGTTTAAGTATATCAATAAATTACCTTAAAATTACAGTCGATTGGAATAAATGGAAGTTATTTTGTTTCTTATTTATATATTTGTTTCATAAACTGAAATTATATTTGTTTATACATTTAATAATAATAAAAAAAAAGATAAAACTGGAAGACTGTTATATCAGAAAATTTTGGCCATTCAGTGTTCAAGGATTGTTTCAAGGTAGTATAACAATCTCTCATTTTTTGTTCCATCTGAGCGGCTTCCTTAGCGTACATCTTATTTATTGTGAATATCAAACATTTCAACTTATTTTTCTGTGCCAGTTAATAACGTTCAAGTCTATACCATGCTCCTTCTTGAATTTATGTTCAGTCATTAGCTGAAATTTCGAAGCAAGCACATAGTTTTTTTTTAAATTGAGAATCATCATCCCCTATATATTTAAAGAGAATCATTTAAAATGTTGTAATCTTAAATTTGTAATAATTAAAAATAACCTCAATCCTATGTGACATAACTCTTTGTATTCTATTTCAATTTAAAAGGATTTTAGAGCATGTAATATAATGTATAGCCTAAAAATTATACTCTCTAACAATATAATATTTCGTAAGATATAGTTGGTCACATGTATCAAATATCTATTGTTTTGCAGAATTTCCTTAAATAAAACCTACGGATTTACCTAATGTGATTAAAAATATATATATATGACAATTAATGATACTAAACAATAAAGATTTAATAAAAATTTGTATACTTTTTTATCATTTTGTTTATTTCTTTATTATTAAAATAAATTACACAATTACATTAGTCATATAATAAAAATCTAGGTTTTTTTTGTGTATGTTGTATTTCAAATTTTTCAAAATGAGTATAAATTACTAAAACTGTTAAAAATCTTACATAAACTTTTAGAATCAAGGTTTTAATTTTTTCTATATTAAAATATAATGATAATAAGACCATATGAAGAAATAATTTTAGTTTATATATATTTCATATCGTTTAAATTAAACTATACATCGTATGAAGATACATACTTATATTTTGATATTTTCATTGAACATATATTGAAAAGTTAATATTTTTATTCTGAAATATGTAATTGTTTTTTTAAAAAAAAAATGATTATAAATTATTGAAACTACTAAACATCTCACATTAGAAAAAAAACGTTAGTGTAAGGTTTTGTTACACAATATGCAAATAATCATAAAATCATATGAGTAGAAACCTCATTTAAAAAATATCCATATTAAAATTGTGCTATATTACTATGTTTATATCATTTAAATTTAATTATATATCATATACAATATATAAGATTGATTATTTTGATTTATTTACCCTAATTGTGAATAAACAAGAGTGATAGTTAAATTTATATACATACGCCTATTTATTACATAATAGTAACTGATTTCTTAGTTATTTAATATATATATTTATTATTTTATAATATGCAGAAAAATATACCATAAATAATAAATATAAAATACTTATTGTGCATAAAGTGCAGATCTTAACCTAAGTATGTATCTTTTTAATTATTTTAAATCTTAAGTATTTTCTAGATCACAGGTCAAAACAAACAAACGAAATGAGAATAAACTTCAAAATCAATATTTATATCGAGTAATAACCAAAATAAATAAAAACAAAACAAGAGAAAAACATTGAAGATAAATAAGATTGACACGTGAACGTAAAATTCTCATAGCCATAATTAATTTATTAATTGTTAAATCATGATATAAAAATGAGTTAATTTTTAATTTGTTAATCTATATAAAAATTATTTTTTAAATCATTATGGTTATATTAAATCATGACAATAACTAATCTTAAATTGTCTAAGTGTATTTAAAAACTTAAAATATTGTTTTTTAGAAATAATTTAAAATTTAACTTACTTTTTTATAAAAATTTTATGTTGTTTTAAAAGTAATTTGTCAAAAATATAATTTTCTAATATTATTAGTCAAATAAATAAATTATATTAAATTAGTTTTGAAACTTTATATATTTTAAATGTAAATATTTTACCAACTGCGTTTTAAGAGAGCATTAAGGAACTTGCTAATATTCTACCAATCAAGCTCATTGACACTTCCTTTATTTTCCATCATTCGAACACTGAAAAGTTAAAAGATATATGAAATCGGGTCCATTAAATTCTAAGCTTTGATCTATAGTTCTAATTACAATTGTTTATGATCCTACGTATAGATAATTATATAATAATTACAAAATTCTAAAATTTCAAATACATATAAAAAAAATTATATGTAAATTTTAAATTTATCAATACTAAAATTTTATATTTTAATTACATACATTCACTATGCGCAAGACGCAAGTCTTATCATAGTACAATATTAAAAGGTAAATATAAGTCAAGGAATAAGTGTCTACGTCCCCAAAAATAATCAACCAACAAGAGACCACATTTTTGCCATATCAGCAGCCTCATCATTAGAAGTGGGCCCCATCTCAGTTTTTCTTAATTTTTTTCTCAGCGCTCAGATATGTCGTGTCTCTTTTACTTCTTAGACTATGTACAATGGTTTCAAGATTCAATATCCTCCATTTCATCTTTTTACATTCCACATCATCTTTTATTTCTTTCATTTCATCATTCAACACATATTTAAAGTTTATCCACTACAATGGTTTTGTTTAATAAAATTAAACACCATATTTTACAAATTAACGATTATTCTTTTTTTAAATATCCAAATTAAATAAACTTATTCTCTATTGATAGAGAACTTAAAATGATTGATTTTCATAAAAAAAAATAAAAATAAGTTATACAACTTATAATAAAATAATTAGTTTAAAAAAACAAAGAAGATATAAAAATGTCAAAAATCCTTAAAAAAATGACATGTATCGTCAGTGGTTTCAACTTCCTTTTTATTCAACTAGTTGAATCTTTTAACAGAGTTTAATGCACATCATCAAATTTCATTTTTCAACACTTCCATTTTAGTGATTCAAAGATTCAACACCCCGTTGTACATACTCTTTGGACGAAAGAAGAAGCAACAAAGCTTGAGAAAAGTCCAAAGAGAAAGGGGAAAATAAAATTTGATTCTAGGGTTTTTGGCCATTGGTGTTTTGATTCTTTGGCTAAGTCCCACAGATTCTTTTTTTTTTGCGATTGAAAAAGAAGATGGCTTTTAAGAAGCGATGTCTGTCGAAGAAGCTGGGTTGACGATCTCTCGACCTGTCTTCATGAAGTTCTCTCCAGAAAGCTTGATTTGTCTTTTTCTTCTTCTCTTCTTCTTCGAGTCTTCTCAATCACTTCAATAAGTCTTATGAAGGTTCTGATTTGTCACTCTCTCTCCTTTGTGAATGAATATTTGGTTAACTCTCCATCACTTCAATAATCCCATGATTATACTATAAACAATTAGGTTATACGATAAAATTTTCTTTTTTGAGGTATAATTGGGAATGATATATTCAAAGATCATTTGACCAAAAAATAAAGAAAATTTAAAGATCTTAGCTTTGTGAAATCATGCGTACTACAAAATTGGAACATGTGTTTCTGTTTTTTACCGGTTTCTGGATTCTATATTTTGGATGAGGAAAATTATTAACTTTGTTCTTTTTGGGATAAAAAAAAAGTTAATTGCTTTTCTGAAAATGTGACTGCTATTGGTTAGCTGATTACTGTAATTTGTATATGTTTGGTGCAGCTGATGATGACGCACACTTGACACTTGCTCATCCACTTTATTAAGCAGATGACTTCAAACAAGCTCTTGAGCACAGCAACTTGGTTTACCATAGAAACCCCTTGCCATTGATAACCTTCGTCTTATTGGTGCTAATTACTACCAGGTACTGTTCTTTCTATATCTTTCTTTTTTTATAAAAAAAAAAACTTGCAGTTTGTTAACTTATGTCTTACATGCCGTGGTCCACCAAAGATTTTTTCTGATATGATTGGAACTTGGCTTGAACTATAAAAATATCTTTGCTTCTACGAGTATATCTAATTTTAATCATATCGTTTAACTTAATTTTTGGCTTCAGGGTACCTCCATTGCAAGGCCTAGGATGGGAAACGGACGTATCTTCCTGGTGGATGGTGGACTTAGGTGAAGATCACCAGGTATCCTCGATATTAATTCTTTTTCTATCCTTTTGTTTCGTAAAGACACATGTAGTCCAACAACTTTTAACCTGAGTAAAAGAAAAGTTAGTTCATTTTTAGGTTGATATCTAAGAGACTAACCAGCAGAGCATTCTGGGATGCAGCTTGTGTGCAACTGCTACACTTTCAGATGCTGGGGTCAAGAGCATACGCAAGGTCCTGAAAGTTTCAGGTATCTTATCTAAATGTTTAAGCCTAGAACTTCATAATGTGGGCTCATGTTTTATCATTTGATAATTACTTAGAATCATTTTTTCTATTTGTTAGTTATAATACGACAGTATATAAAATAAAAGCTCGATGTTCATTTTGTGTGTATAGTTCCAGAAGATCAAAAACGAGAAAGAAAATCAGCGAAATGATAATGAATTAGGACACAAAGGAAGGAGGAATCTGGTTTCATGTGCAAAACGTGGATCTTCGGTGTCCTCAAGCAAAATGGTTGGTCGTACGTCTCTTGCACCGGTTTCAGCTGGAAGTCAAGCAAATCAGGGCCTTCGCTTTGGTGCAACAAATGTGTATCAACAAACGGGATCACTGTAATCAGATTCCGAGTAGTCATATGTAACTTGAATGATAGCATTATCCAAATTTGACTCACAACTCTAAATTTACAAATATTTCCCAGGTACCCCATATTGAACTAGCTGTTAACAATGGCCACGACAGCGCTACATTTTTCATGGAGATGAAAAACTCACCAAGAAAGATGCAGCGTCGTTCGCTCTTGAGGAGGATCACTTCCACTACTACACTCCACTCATCTCAAGTTTCTCTGCGCAATATTGGTACTGTCATTAGCTTGAACATATGACAGATTAAAGTCTTGGAGGGTCTGAGCTGCCTAGAAGAATCTTGCTAGAAAAGAATTCTTCTTACAGATTCGGGAGACACCCTACAATTTCACTCCCAACCATCGCTTCTGCAGTGTATACAGTCACTGGAAGATGTGGTTGTGAAGACTCATTCAGAGGTAAACTAAACTATCTTCAAGCCCAAGTGATCTCCAGTATCACATATTCCTATTAGTTCCAGGGTGATAGTACCAACACAACTCCACAAGAGGAAGGCCAAAGTGAGCAGGCACCAGCTTATTCCAGCAACTCGGGGGATGCAGATACACAAGTGATGGAAGTGGATCCAGCCAACACCGCCGAGCTTTGAAGACGCAGAGAAGAGCCGCAAACGCTCCGTAACTGAATGTAGGAAGTGTATCAAGCGGTCGTTTCCGCATAGCTTTCTTTCCCTGCATTACGAACTCAATGCAATAACTATTACCCTTTCTTTTTGTTTAGTTTTTATTTTATTTTCTGCAAACTTGCTCCAACTTGGAACAATGTTATTTAATTTTTTGTGAAAGGAGGCTTGAGTGGTATTTACATCTTTGTGTAAAAACCATCGGGTTTAATTCAAACATGTATACATTTAAGTAGTACCTCAGATGCCATAGCTAGACTTCTTAGAACGCAGGAACCAAAAACTCATTGCCTTGATGCATCGTATTCTTTAAAAATTGTCGGTGCTATTATACGCAAACTATTGACTTGAGAAATTTATATTTGCGCCAGTGTATATAAGGCCAGTAATTAATAAGACCACATTATATCAAGGTTTTATATCAAGATATCTACTCATATTGTGTTTTAACAACATATAATACAGTAAAAACTATTAAATACATTTAACATGACTTTATATTAATTTGATACAAGTACATAGTTTTTTTAAATATAATAAAAATATACGAAATGCAAATTAATATTAATTTACTCTAACGTAATAAATTATAAATTAGTTAAGCAATCATTTTAAACATGTCTCAAAACGTACTACTTATGCAAAGTATCTTTAGATAAATAGTTTTTAATACTAAACAAGCCATATTCTTAACTAAGATAAATGAACTTAATATTTATATATTTATTTGAAAGTTACATTTACATTGTTATAAACTTAATAACTGTTGAGAATTAGGAACCGAATATGTGTTGAAACGGATATCTATATATATATATATATATATATATATATAAGAAAATTTTATAAAAACTATGACTAAAATTATATGATTAAAATTAAAAATAAAGCATACATTCATTTACAATAACTAAAGATCTACGAGTTAAATAAAATTAAGGTTAACTAAATATCTAAATTAAACTGTTTATTCATCTATGAGAAGGGTGATATCATTATAACCGGTTTGACATACATTTTGAATTGGCTTATAATTTTTTTTAAAATTCTAATAAATGATTTTATAAACCTTTGTAAAATATATGTACACTCTTATAAGTAATAGATTTTTAGCAATAATTTTATAGATATATCTAGCTAGGGATAGACGTTTGGATACCTGTTCGATTTCCGATCAGATATTTTAGATTTTAAAATATGCCGGTGTAGGGGTATAGAACCTCTTCGAGTATTTCTATATTTTGGGTTGGGTTCGGATAAGTTTAGGTCGGATTCGTTTATTTCTTGTCGGGTTCTGATATTTAGATTTTGAAGAAATTCTAAATTCTTTATGTCTTAAGTTTCTTAAATTTAAAAATATATCTTTAACACAACTGATTGTTATTTTAATAGATTGAATTATTTAAATTTGGAGGTAAAATTATATGTATATTAAAAGACACTAATTTGGTTATTATTTTGAAATTTTAGATGTAATTTTTGTTAATGCATAAAACAAGAAGCTTGACATGCATTTAAAGTGAGTATCAAATCATTTTGTCTGTAATTATATGTATGTTATCTGATATTAAACTATGTGTAGCATTAATATAAATATTTTAAATAAAATATGATAAATAAATTAGAAATATAATGTCAAGTATGCATGTGTTCGATAATTTTCGGATATCTATTCAAGTTTGGATATCCAATCTCTCCTAATTCAATACCCATTCCGGTATTTTATTACTTCGGTTTGGATTTCTGCTGGGTTTTTTGAGCCAGGTTCCGATATCGGGTAAAATACTCAACCCTACTTTGAGCTTTGCTATTTCTTTGTATTATTGACAATCAGTGTTTCAAATAGTTGAAAACTAATCTCAAAATATTATATATTACTGTCAAAAAATGATTAGTGGAAGAGTATCATATCTAAAGTATCCAAGAAAATGAGGAATTTCCTAAATTATCATTCTTAATATCATTTTCTTATGTTCACTTTAACCACATTTATTTTTAGTTTTAAAGAGGTAAATAAGCATTTATATTTTTATGGTTAACTAATATAGACTTATGATTTATATTTTAGGGGTGGATTTTTGGAGTCTATAGTTTAGAATTTTTATTAAAAAAAAAAAAATTACAAAATAGTTTCAAAAATAGTTTTTGAAATGCACCATAAAATTTTGGGAAAGTGTTATAAAGATTCTGAATTTAAAATGTATAACTGAAAAATATATATATTTTAAAATTATATATTTAAGTAATTATTTATTTAAGTAATTATTTATATTTATATAACTATAAAGTAAGGATAAAATAAGATTTTGGATTTTAATTGAAATTTCATACTTTACGTATTTGTAAATATCCATTTAATAAAAGTAAACATAAATAATGGTTTTCTAAAAGAAAACATAAATAATAGTATGAGATAAAATAAATTTCTCCCAAAAACATAGATCCGATGCTTTATTTTTAATTTCATTTTTAAAATTTAAGATATTATTCATCATGCAATGATAATTAAGTAAATTATCATCCAGGCGTAACCCAGAGAAACACTCTAGTAACAATAAAAACAAAATAGTATCAATAAAACAAAATAGAAGAAAATGTGGAAAACAAATTATTTGACAACAGTCGTTGACAATCAATAAAGCTCAATGGCATCGTTTATGTACATATACAAACCCCACCGACCTCGGCTTGCTTAGTTTTGTCATCACCGGTATTTCTCTCTCCACAAGAATTATGTTAGCTGTAATCACCATATTATCCTCAACGGCGTCGTTTGAATCGGGCCAACTCTCGCTCCCCCCCCCTCCCATTGCACCTACTGATTTCGACCTCAACACATGGTTCCAGACGACAAAACGGTGCGGGAGAAACGGCCTATTCTGGGTTTATATCATAATCAGTCGTCATGTTGGATACCTTGGTCTTCTTCTTCTTACTCCCTCCTCTCATGATCCTCACATTGATCTATTTCTTTTTTTTTTCACTCATGAAAGAGACACCGGTATTGTGTTCCAACAACATATGGTCATAAAACAATCAATCAACATAAAACCGTCTGAGATCCAACGGCGATGTACTATTACAGCGGTGACGAATTCGACCTTGATCGACAGAGTCTCCAAGGTGAACATAATTGTAACGCCCCGACCGCTCACGGCTAATGCGCCACCCACGCCCGCTCTCTCGGCCCGTGGGCCCCATACCATTCCAGTGGCCGGTCCGTTAATTTTTCAAGGCTTTAAAGTTATGTTTACTGACCCTGCAATCACCACATGACATTTCCCCGTGCTTTGGCCTCACTTACACGTTATCGCAAATCACTTCCTGATAAGTCACCCATCCTTAGACTACTCAAGCTCGAGCACGTTTAACTCTGGAGTTCTCTCTGGATGTGCTCCTGAAAAGGTAAGTGCATTTTGGTGATATAGGTAGTCAAATCAATCATCTTAAGCCTTTTCATATATCATAACTCGGGATGTTACAATTCATCTCCTCTCAAAGAACGCAATGTCTTCGTTGCGCCCCACGACAGGTCTCAAGACGCCTCTAAAGTCAGAACTGAGATGGCTAACCAGCTATGATACCACTTGTAACGCCCCGACCGCCCACGGCTAATGGGCCACCATGTCCGCTCTCTCGGCCCGTGGGCTCCATGCCGTTCCAACGGCCGGTCCGTTAATTTTCCAAGGCTTTAGAGTTATGTTTACTGACCCTGCAATCACCACATGACCTTTCCTCGTGCTTTGGGCTCACTTACACGGTATCGCAAATCACTTTCCGATAGGTCACCCATCATTAGACTACTCCAGCTCAAACACGCATAACTCTGGAGTTCTCTTTGGATGTGCTTCCGAAAAGGTAAGTGCACTTTGGTGATATAGGTAGTCAAATCCAATCCTTTTAAGCCTTTCCATATATTACAAACTCTGGATGTTACAATAATATTCTTAGGTTCAAAGATAAAAGGCCTAAAAAGTCATCGAGTTATTGGACTCTATCAAAGTTAAAACGAAGCTATAACAAAAACCCAAACAAATTACACACCAAATTTAATGAAAAGCAGTGGATTTACTCACATGTTACTTCCAAAATAGATGAATTAGTGACGTGGCTTCATAAAATGAGGAAAAACTCTATTATATATATAGATAGATAGATAGATAGATTATCATTATTTTTTTGTGTATTAATGTACTATTTTCATTTTACATATTTAAAACTATATTTACTTTTTAATTTACTATTTTTAATTTAAAACTGTGTACTTACTTATCATTTATTTTTTTATACTGAGTATTTCTATTTTTTACTTTATTTTACTTAATATCTATATTTAACATTTTAAGATAGATGTTTAATGCTTAATGTATTATTTCATCTTTTTAAATTGTGTATATACTTATTATTATTACTATTATTATTTGTATATTATACTCACCTAATATCTATATCTGACATTTTAAAATAGATGTTTAAATAAAATATTACATTAAACATCTATCGTAATATTAGAATAGTTAAACAGAAAAAAATATTAAATATAAAAAATAGAAAATCTACATTAGAATTCTATCTGATAAATGTATAAAAAAATAAGTATTATATAAATATACAAAATAAGAAATATAAATCTTACATTATACATGTATTGTAATATTATTATTTGATATAAAAATAAGACAATTAGAATAAGTTAAATATATAATATAAGAATAGTGATATAATTAACATTGGAAAATTAAATTTTTTCGTGCTTAGCAGCCGATTAACCCCTAGTTGCATATATAAATTTTAAACCGGCGATAGAGAACTCTATGAGAAACTCATCGAAGCTGGAGCTCAAAGAGGGCGAAAGGCTACTGGTTCCAATATTCTCACACTTGGGTTCCAGCTTCAGGTCTGTATGATTGCTATGTACTTCTCGTACAACACGGCCATGGCCAACGCTGCACCTGAAAACGTCAAGCTTTGTTGTATTCTCATCACCACCACCCCAGTTTGATGAAGTTGGTCGAGAAGCTTATTGGCGTACTCGATCAATGCTGGGACTCCATGCCAAAGAAAATCTGTTGACTTACCTTCAGTACAGACTATTTCATGATGAGGTTTTTGTAACATAGAAGCCAGTTCACTATCTTTCTTTTCCTAAGCATAAATACTGTTGTTGCATTCAAAAAAAAAACATATAATGTGGACCACCAGAAAAAAAAAAAAAAAATTGAAACTGCTGGTGTGTCGTTAGACTCGTTACAAATGCACACCTGATAGGTCTTGTAAATGTATTATTCATCTGGGAGTTTACATATTTTGTGTGTTTTGTTTCCTATCTTACACTCGATCCCAGAAAACTTGGAGGAGAATATACGATTCTGCACGCAACCACCAGCTCTCAGCTTGTTCAGTTCCCCGTCAACAGCTCCCTTTAGGGATATTCTAATATCACCCAACGCCCAGACCAAGGAGATATGCGGCCGCGGATCCTAAAGAACAAATCGAAGCAGAACCGATGGGTTTGAGTGTTGGTGACAATGAATTCAGTTGCAAAATAGTAAACTAACATTAAGATTAGTATATAGAAAAGGAAATGGACCTTGTAGAACTCTGGAAGATTGTGAAGCTTGTAAACTTCATTAACAGCATCAATTTGCTTGCTTATCTAAATCAGAGATATGAGAATCAGTACAATATGAGATACTGAGTATACAACACATTCAAGGTACAAATCTTGTTGTATAGAAGAATACCTCGGATAATCCAGAAGTGGTGACTTCCAAAGAAAGGAAAGATCGAGTACAGTCATCATTCACAAAGACTTCCCACTTATTAAAATCAATCCAGTATCTATCGGAAAAAAAAAAAAGAACAATGAAAAAATTCATAAATCCAAGCATCGTATACAGTCAAACTGTTATAATCTTTACCTCTTGTGCAACTGAAATTTTTGCCTAAGCATAGAAACCACCGAGTTGATCTGATGAACACGTAGAGGAACGCTTCTTCCCAAGCTTATGTGGAACTCTCTCCCCAAAGCATGCTCAAGCTTCTGGTCATCTTTGCAAAGAATGGTGAGTGGAACATCAGATTCTACCAAATGAAGATGAGGAACAAGTGATGCAACCCTCTTTAAAACACAGGCAATCTCCTCCTTCGCCAATAGTGGTATAAAAACTAGAAATCACATACAAAAAAAAATAAGGAAGAAGATACACATTCTCGGACACATATTGATCCCTCTTTGGTAAAGACCATTAATAGAAGTTTCATGGAGAATCATTTCACTGCGATAGGCTAAACAACCACTCACTCAATTGAGAAATAAAGAACCTTGTCAGAATGTTAACGTGTTGTAAGGGTAGTGAGGAACGAAATGAAGTTCCAAGATGTCTAAAAAAGAGTGATTTACCAGGGATGTAAACGTGCAAGGCGTAGTTTCCATCGACATGAGGAAAGTTCCTTACTCGAGTCACAGGCTCAGTTAAGAAGAAATTCAAAGAACCTTCAAGTTCACAAATACATTTTAAAACGTGATTAATTAGATTCAGGAGGAGTTAGAGTCGACACAATATCATCATCACCTGTGGATCCAAAGGATTCGAGAAGCGAAAGAGGCGGAGGAGGCAAGGAGATCGACTCCTTTTCGAGTTTTCCAGATTCCTCGCCGGGATTTGCCGCAGCCGGAGAAAGATCATCTGTGTCAGAGTCCGATGAAGAGTCACCGTAAGAGGCTCTCAGTGCGTCCATCGCCTGCAAAGACGTTTAACAAAAAAAAAAAAATCAATTCCTAGCTAAATAGAACCGAAATCAACCAAGTGAGAGAGAATCAAATCAAATCGAACCTCAACCAAAATACCCGGGAACATATTTTAATGGGCTGAAAATGGGCCTTCTCCCAATAAACTAGCAAAACCCTAACGACGATCACTATATAATCAGACAGCAATCGCCTATAGATCTCATCATCATATCATATTTTGCATCTACCGTTGTTACGTTAAACCTTCTGTGGTTTTCTTATTTTTTAATTTTTATTTTTTATTTATATATTGATTCGTTTCTTTGAAATTTTTTCGATTAAAACGGAGAAAGAGAGAAGGCAGTGATGACTCGGAAATATCAAGCTCAACAGACCGGAATGAGGCGTATCTTTCTTTAATTGGAGATTCGTTTCTGTGTCGATAATCCCGCTGAACTGAGCCTTCTCTTTTATTCATTAGGTTTTATGAATATTGATTTTTTTTGGTTTTACCAATCACTTGTTTTTATCTTTTTAAAAGTCTGTTTGATTTGAAATTGGTTTTGAATTAATTATCTGGGGATTGTAGATGGCGAAGAGGATACTACGCTCCCTCTTCTGAGTACATCTGAGGAAACTTGCTGGCAGAATCGTACCTGATATCACTAGCCACCACTGAGCCATCTCTTTGTTTCCCATAAAAGATTTTTGAAGAGCTTGTTTTTTGAATTTTTATTTTATTAAATTCATAATGGTGATAATGATGAAACAATTAATCTAATCCAACACTTGATCTGATTTATGCTATGTGCATCTGATGCTACAATAGTTTGGCTTCTGAATCCGCCCCCAAAATCAATGAAAATCAGTTTAATAACTGATCTTATATCATTTAAAAGAAATGGTTTCAACAAAAGAAATAGATTCCTCCATGTAAAAATCCCATAACATAAACCTTCAAATCTCATCACATTAACCCAACTGAATTATAGAAACCATAAATTTGTGACTGGATCACAGAATCCACAAAAAAACGAAATCAGATTGAGAATCCGCATAAAAGAAATCAGATCGGAAGAGATCTTGTTAACTAAGTTTCGCCAACGACTTGCCAACTACTGCGCTGCGCAATAAAGGAACCTAATTTTATATATATAGACAGATTATCATAAGCATAGGTTTAGTCTCTGATCGAAACATTAGGTGCTAGTCGGGCGGAAAAAATTGGGGATTAATTGGAAATTATGTGGGGTGGAATTTTTCATCTTTATTTAGTTTATCGGTATATATATTAAATAACTTAAAAAATAACCAGAAAGATAAATTGGTTTAGTGGCTAGTGTCATATTATTGTTCAACATAAGGCTGGGTTCGATGCCCAATGCCTTTCTTTTGGTCTTTTTAAAAACTCAGCTTTAATGAAGGAAAAATGACATTTTACTTTTATCTTCTTCCTTTCAAACACGATCCCCTTCTCTAACATGGTGGTTAGGGTTTTTTTGCCGTTTTTAAAGTGATTTTTTCATTCTTTTGTTAGATTTGTGCCAACTATAGATAAATCTATGCAAGAATTTTTGATTTATAGAGTTTAAGAAAAGAAAAACAAAGTTTTTCTGCAAGATCCGATTTTTGGCCAATTACAGCCAAATCCCAGCGGTGCTGTCCCGCCATGCGATTTCTCGACGACTACGCGGTTCTGGGTGCCGCGTTTTAAAACATGGGGTTTAGTATATGATTATTGATTCAGTTACTCATTTGGTCTCTGATTTAGTTTCTTTTTTGTGGATTCTCTGATTCAGTCATTGATTCGGTCTCTGATTCAGTTTTTTTTTTTTGTGGATTCTCTGATTCAGTCACTGATTCGATCTTTAATTTAGTCACTGATTTGAGGTTTCTGTGATTCAGTTGGGTTTATGTGATGGGATTTGAGGGTTTACATGGATCTTAGGAATCTATTTCTTTTGTCACATCTTTTCTTCCCTTGTCTGCAGTCGCGTCTTTCTTTGATTCAGTCATTAATCTAACACTTCTAAGTGATTCTATTATTAACTTAGCTCACAACTGTTATGTTTCTGAATTTCAACAAATGAAATCATTTTGCCTCAATCTAACCTAAGAGCTTAAGACTACCACTATAATTCTCTAAAGCATCAACACATATTCAATTCTTTTTCCATCAGATCTGTTTCAAAAATTGTTTAATTAACATTGTTCGAGAGTGGTCGTTGGTGGTTGAGGGTTGACTTAGCAGATTTTATTTCATATGGTGGTGGTTTCCGTGATGTCTGTCTTATAGGTTGTGGTTTTGATAGTATAAATGGTGCATAATTAAAGTGTAGTTTTATAGTATAAACGGTGCGGAATTAAAGTGTGGTTTTAGTTGTATAAACGGTGCGAAATTAAAGTGTGTGGTTTTGTTAGTATAAGCGGTGCAGAATAAAAGTACGGTATGGTCGAACTGCGATTCATGCAATTTGTGGATTAAGTATTGTTTTAGTAGAAAAAATAGTGTGGTTTTGATAGAAAAATATTGCAATTTTCATAAAAGTTAATATAATAATATATTTAAATTAGTTATTTAATGATAATTTCATATTATTTTATAATAAAAATGTATCTTAAAAAAATCTGATTTAATCTGTTTTCAGATAGATTTGAATATTTCTGATGGTTAATATAATAATATTTTATAATTCATAATGGTGTATATTGTTAGATAAGATTTTGACTAATTTATTTGAGAAATTTTCTTTGGTTATGTGATACAATTTAGTTATCGTTTTAGATTTTTGTACACAAATTAAAAATATTTAATTTTACATATTTTTAAAATAAAAACACAATTACCTATATATATTTAACTACATTTCAACCAATAGAAAAATAAAAAAATATATAAAGTTAATAAATTCTATAGCGAAACTATAAAACAAACTTATTTTGAAACAAATTTTTCTCCACAACGATATGTAAAGTGAAACAGAGGGAGTACTTGATTGGTAAAAATAATTTAAGAATATGATACAAAAATATATTAGTAAAATCTATTTATCTATGTTTGTTACAATATATTGATAGAAGTAAAATAGTTATATAGTTTACCAACTAATAGAATAAAATAAATAAGATTTGGATCCATGCATCCGTGCGGATGTAAGTTTTAAATTATTATATGTTTAACATTTATTTTACAGTTTCATAATTTTTGAGTTTTGAGATTGATGTATTTTGTTCAGTTTTTTTAGTGTCCAATAATAAAATATGTTGTTATACTGATAGTTTAATAATATGGCAACATTGTGTTTTATAGATTAGAAAGTACTATATGTAGGGAATCAAGGATTAAGTGGTTTACTGTTGGTTTATTAATAAGAGAACTAGACTTTGACCCGCATGACGGTGCGGGTTTTATTTTTCTTTTCAATTTTTTTTTGTTTTTATAATGCATTTTCCAAAGTTAATTAGGCGTAATAACTAGAATTATTTTTGGTGGCTGTTAATATTTTTTTTTGTCATATAAACAAACTAAACATCAGAGAAATACATATGCAGTGTTTTTTTTTGTTTTTTATTTATAAATACATATTTATTTGTATAATTGATAATATATATTTTAAAATTTACTCGTTTAAATAATTTTTTAATACTATTTTAAACACAATAATTTTATATTTTATAGAAGTAATTTTTATTTTAGCTTGTAAACCATCAATTGTATTATTCCTATTTTTAGAATATGATCCGTACATTTGTAAAATATATTTTTATATTTTTAGGAATCTAAATTTTATGATAATGTATAATAAAATTATTTATAGATTATTTAAAATATATTGTGCTATATATTTTATACTTTCAACATTTAAACATATCATTTTATATTAATCTATAATATGTTGAATAACTATTTATAGCTAGGTTTATTAATTACTTATTTATTTCCAAACACACATATATGAAAAGACAAAGAATAGTAAAAGATAAATTCTCCAAAATAACATTTTTTTTTAGTTTTCATCTCAAAAATAGCACCTCTAGTTGAAAATCACAAAAATACATTTTTAATAGGATAAAAGATTTTAATACCTCTACATATCAATATAAAAAAAATCATAAACCCTAAAATCTCAACTCTCTTATTATCAACTCTAAACATTACTATCAATACTAAACCCTAAACCCTAAAAATACTAACTCTACACCTTCAACCCTAAACCCTAAAACATCAATCATAAACCCTAAACTTTTTTAAATTCTAAACCATCAACAATGAAGAACCCTAAATCCTAAAAAAAATCTCAATCTTTAACACTAAAAAAATTACCTTAGATCCTCAACTTCAATTCTAAACCCTAAATCTTCAATTCTAAACCTTACTATCAACACTAAACCCTAAACCATAGAAATAAACTCTTAACCTAAAACCTAAGCCCTAAATCACAATTCTAACTTTAAACCCTAAAAATTCAAATCTAAACCCTATAATATTAAACCTAAACCCTAAAACTCAATTCTAAACTCTAAACCTGAATTCTAAACCGAAAATCATCAACAGAGAACCCTAAACCCTAAAAATAAATTCAAAACCATTAACCCTATAAAATTACCCTAAACCCTAAACCTTCAACTCTAAACCCTAAAACATAAACTCTAAATCCTAAACTTCAATTATAAACCCTAAATCCTAAAACCTCAACTCTAAACTTAACTATCAGCACTAAACCTTATATCATAGAAGTGAAATATAAATCCTAAACCACAGTTCTAAATCCTTAACCATCAACACTAAAATCCAAAACACTAAAAATAAACTCTACACCCTAAAAAACCAACCCTAAACTCTAAACCTCAATTCTAAACCCTAAACCATCAACACTGAACCTTAAACCCTATAAATAAATTCTAAATATTTAACACTAAATAATTACCCTAAACCCTAAAACCTCAACTGTAACCTTACTATCAACACTAAACCCTAAAAAACAAAAGTAAACTCAAAACCGTAAAACCTAAACA